AAAGATAGAAAGTTTTTAAATGTTTTAGATGGTTGTATATATCTGTTCAAGAGAAAGTAGAGTAGATATAATGGGCAGAAATAAATGTACCAATCAAAGATAGAAAGTTTTTAAACATTTTAGATGGTTGTATATATCTGTTCAGGAGAAAGTAGAGTATATATAATAGGCAGAAATAAATGTACCAATCAAAGATAGAAAGTTTTTAAATGTTTTAGCAGCATTCAATCACTGCTTTCTTTAAAAGTAATTCAACCAATTATCAATCACTTTCACAGTCAATACAGTTTATCAGCTTGTAACAATAAAAATGTTTTTTTAGAGCTGTAAACATGTACCCATGAGTTATGTCATAAAATTTTTGTGCACTCTAGGTTCGCAGAAATGTGTGGCATTTCTTATTCACAGATGCTTTTTTTTGATGATGAGCAGAGAAATATACATGAAATAAGTAAGCTAGGTAGGTGTGGATTCAGATAGTGTTTGTTATGATGTGTGGATTCGTGAGTGGTGTTTATTATGATGTGTGGATTCGTGAGTGGTGATTGTTATGATGTGTGGATTCGTGAGTGGTGTTTGTTATGATGTGTGGATTCGTGAGTGGTGTTTGTTATGATGTGCGGATTCGTGAGTGGTGTTTGTTAGGATGTGCGGATTCGTGAGTGGTGTTTGTTAGGATGTGCGGATTCGTGAGTGGTGTTTGTTAGGATGTGCGGATTCGTGAGTGGTGTTTGTTAGGATGTGCGGATTCGTGAGTGGTGTTTATGATGTGTGGATTCGTGAGTGGTGTTGTTATGTGTTCATTAATAACTTGGTGTCTTTACTGAATACTAAAATATTAAAAAAATTACTTGTTTTGAGCATATATATCTTTATTTCTTAATTTATTTTTAACAGTCCTCATTCAGATAAAGGAAACTCTTGTGTCGTTCAGATAAAGGAAACTCTTGTGTTGCATTAGTTTAGGGAAAAAGAGATGTCTGTACAATTCTGTTACTGGAAAGTGGTCCATTAAAAAAAAATAATGCAATTTATATTATCAGTCTTATTCTGATGTTTTTTCTGTACATGTATGGGTTTTACTAATCTTCATTTTCTGGGGTCTTACATTTTCAGGAGTTACGTGTGTTTTTCTGCCCAATGGATTGACCTGTAACGCTTTAGAAGAAGGGTTTCAACAGTTTGAAAGAAAGAATTTGTGATATGTCTGTTTTGTCTAGGTACCTTTTTGACGTTAGTGCCTCTTGTGCTCTCTGTAGCAAGGAAGTACTGTAGTTTAAATCCAATGTTCTTTAGCCAAATACGAGTTTTTTAGTGATTTTATTACGACACGGTCAGTGTAAAAAACGTTTAAATTTACTTTCTCGTACACACTGTCTTAGAATTCATCCTCCACTATCTCTGCTTTGAAAACTGACATTAGGTGAGCAGTTTTTTTTTAAGAATATCAAGTATTACTTTACATTTTAAATTTTGGTCAAGTTTCTGAAGTCGTAACTGCAATAACAAATTTATCATCACCTTCACTGAAAGGTATGATAGGAAGTCGTTTTAGCAATGCAAAAATGTAGGCAAGTACGAAGTGGTGATGATGTGAGTCCCAAGTTTCATTAGCCATATATATAAAGTGGAGTCTCCGTCCTATCAATATTTATTATCATCTTAGAAAATTTATTTATTTCACTAAGTATATTTTGTAGAAAAGCTGTTTTTCGAAGAAAAAAAACAATTGCAATAAAATGTGTTAGAATAACAATTTCAATTTGATGACCGAATGAAAATACAATCACAAGCCATTTCATTTTCAAGTGTGGTTTTTCCCCACTTCTCTGTCGTCGGTGCAGTTAGTGATGTTGTGGACTTTTCTTTTAGAAGTTTGAAGTGTGACATGGGAAGGACAAAAAAGTTAGGGAAACACTGCCTTAAAGACACCGAGTTTCATATCTGATGTTTTAATGTTTTTTTCTTATACAAAGTGCAGTCAGTGTATCCTGAAATATTTCATAAATGTTCCTAAAAACACAATGGCTTCTAAGGCTTACTCGCTTAACTACAGAGCTGGGGTGGCCACGAACCTGAAAACATCGGAGAATTTTAAAAATGAATAAAAGTTGTCTTCCCATTTTTTTTTTATCTTGGAACCTGCATGCATACACAAACTATGTTGTGTATTGGCGTACTTTGACATATTCTTGGTGTTAGTCACTCTGTGTTATTTTATTTGTATTGTTTAGTAATATGTTGTAAATAAAAGTGTCAAATTTGATTGCCTACTGTGAAGTTGCAATTTCTTCTTTAATATATAAGATTGAAATTTGTAAGTGATAGTATAAGGAAACGTTCAAAGTTCGGGAGAATTATTAGGTAAAGTTCGAATATTAACGTGGCATACATTCACAACTTTTAAAAGTCTGAAATTCTGCCTTAAAAAAGTCGGGGGAAAACGTTGTAACCCTGAAAGTCTTTCATGAGAAAGATTTCTACCGGTTTAGCTCTTAACCTATTTTGAACTAAGTTGGTATATAGATACGAGCCTATCCAAAATAAAAAGACCATCGTAATCGATGTTAAAAATATTTATTTCCTACTTCGTAAATAATAAAATTAATAATAGTCAGTTAAAAAATGAACTGAATGATAATACAAATGTTTGTTCAACATAAAATCTACAAGCCAACATATTATTTAAATCCACCTTCAACCTGCATTAAATTGTTTTGGCTCGTGTATTTTAATTTGAAAAACATGTTACGAATTTTCTTCATAAAACTTGTTCTAACCCTTTTTAATTGTTGATACTTGCAGCTATGAAATATCCACATTTTTTTAAAATTTTGACAGCTTCTTTTAACTTTGTGTATTTAGCTAATTTGCCACATACTTTAAATGTTAGCTATGTGTAGCTAACACTACAATTATTCGTATCATGTATATTACACATTAAAAAAATGTGAAGTGTTTATTTCTTTACTTTGATGTGACGGTCATAGTTCTTACTATCAGATCATATCTTATTTAATCTAAGTGCTTGATTGAATGTGATATTGCATTTGGTGTGTGGAGAGTGACAGCTTTCATTATGTAAATATTGTGGTTTATCCGTTGGTTTTCGGTACAAGTCGGTATGTAGAACACCATCTTTTAATGTTAGGTTTACAACCAAGAAACTTATTTGGGCAGTGGAGTGGTCTAGTGATCTATGTAAGATCCTAATGTATAATAAAAAAAAAAAAAGTCTTATTAATCTATATTTCAGCAGTATACGTTTATGCTGCTTAGCTTCAAAGTGAATAATATTAGCACCACTCACAAGAATACTTATTAATGTTTAAAATAATACTAGTTAATCTCTTGTAACTTTGAAATTCTGGTTTTCTTACCTTTTTATTAAATGCCACTGTTGAGTTCTTAAGCCTGGCACAACATGCTAAATTCTTGGTAGTTTTCACCCATTAGTTAAGCCTTTTGTAATGGGCTTCATATCTAATAGATTTAATAAGGAACTTGCCATAAACCTCAACTCTCTCACTAGGGGGAGTGTGTTGATGTTAAATAGAAAGGAACAATAAACCCTGGGCACTATTACTATAGTAGTAGCTTAACTAATTTGAATATAATAAATAAGACCGTGCTTTGATAGAATTATATAAAATATCCAATTCAATTAGAGATACTTTAAATAAAAGCAAAATTCATCATATGTATACCTAACCAGTTCGTATTTATATTTTCATTGTAACAAAATTGAGTGAATAGCTCTAAGGTTACGTAACCAGTCTCCAAGTAACGGTGTATCTTCTTATGCCCAACTGAAAAGCTCCATGATGATGTTATCAGCTTTTTTTCTTTAACAATGTTCAACTGAAAATCTCCATGGTGATGTTACCAGATCCCAACTCAAAGCTCCATGGTGATGTTACCTGCTTTTCCTTTTCTTCCCAACTGGGGAAATCCAGATTTCCCTAGAGATATAACAGTTTTTTTTAGATTACTGAAGATAAACTTTAATAATCATTTCTAAATCACCATAATAAGTTAGGGTTTAATGTGTAACACCTTTGTTTCCTCTGTATGCATTAACCTCTTGCCAGAGAGACAACTACTGACGAAGATTCTTCTAAACTTAAATAAATACATCTAACTCGTTAGGTTATCTACTCTAAACACAATACTGTCAAGAATGTATCTGATGGTGGAGTTATTTCTATAGTTAACCTAACACTGTTAGAAATTGCTTAAGTTTTTTTCTACTTGAAACATACTATTGTCAGCAGTGGCTATTCCAGTAGCTGTCTGTTTTTCTACCTTCTTATTAATATAAAGATCTATGTCCCTACCTGGTGGGGGGTTCATCTTTGATGCCAGGTAAATAAAAGGTTCCAACAGTGTTCTTCTCTCCGCAGCACTTACTTCATAGTGTTTCACTGAAACAGATCAAGTGTCCGTACAAGATAAGACAGATCAAGTGTCCATATAAGATAAAACAGATCAAGTGTCCGTACATGATAAGACAGATCAAGTGTCCGTACATGATAAGACAGATCAAGTGTCCGTACATAAGACAGATCACGTGTCCGTACAAGATAAGACAGATCAAGTGTCCATACAAGATAAGCCAGATCAAGTGTCCGTACAAGATAAGACAGATCAAGTGTCCGTACAAGATAAAACAGATCAAGTGTCCGTACAAGATAAGCCAGCTTGCAGAGTTATGCCACTTTCCAAGCTTTAGTGGTACATCAATAAAAACTTACCATGTTACTGAAAGTACTGATTAAAGAAATTTAATAAATATGTTCTTAAAAACATTTACTTAAAGTAAGTGTGATTTTTACTTGCCAGTTATTCTAAGGTAAAGATGTTTCGATAAACTTAAGTTCATTTCTTGGATCCCATAAAAGCCCAAGATATATATTACTTCTGATCAAATTAAAGAACAGCTTACTTAACTTTGTAGTGGTTACAATAAGTGATTAACTTAACTTTAAGATGGTTACAGTAAGTGATTATCTTAACTTTGAGATTGTTACAATAAGTGATTATCTTAACTTTGAGGTGGTTACAGTAAGTAATTAACTTAACTTTGAGATGGTTACAGTAAGTGATTATCTTGACTTTGAGATTGTTACAGTAAGTGATTATCTTAACTTTGAGGTGGTTACAGTAAGTGATTATCTTAACTTTGAGATTGTTCAATAAGTGATTATCTTAACTTTAAGATGGTTACAGTAAGTAATTAACTTAACTTTAAGATGGTTACAGTAAGTAATTATATTAACTTTGAGGTGGTTACAGTAAGTGATTATCTTGACTTTGAGGTGGTTACAGTAAGTAATTAACTTAACTTTGAGATTGTTACAGTAAGTGATTATCTTAACTTTGAGATGGTTACAGTAAGTGATTATCTTAACTTTGAAGTGGTTACAGTAAGTGATTATCTTGACTTTGAGGTGGTTACAGTAAGTGATTATCTTAACTTTGAGATTGTTACAGTAAGTGATTATCTTAACTTTGAGATTGTTCAATAAGTGATTATCTTAACTTTAAGATGGTTACAGT